AAACTCCACCGGCGGTCATACGATGGCTTAAGATGCCCTCACGAATGGCCCGATGTTGTTATGATCAGAGCCGAATTTGAACATTTCCTTAATCGTGTGTCCATCGGGTGTCAATTTCGGGACAGTGTGACGAGGGGTCTTAACACCTGGACAAAGTGGGAGAATATCTGCAGATGGATCTATGATGTGTTGTGTGAAAAAGCTCCCTGTTGATCAGCCTGTGATATTCTCTCCCAGGTTGTCAATGGACTGCCTGAACTTCGGTCTGATCATCGACGGGGCCACGCTGTCTGCAATCCTGAAGGCGAACCAGGAGGGCGTCGGCTGTGGAAACTACAGAGAGATCTTTCTGGAGATCTCTCGCAACTGTAGCGCCGTGCTCTGCTGCCGCATGGCGCCGCTGCAGAAAGCCCAGGTGAGAGCGCTGCACTTCAGGATAGTGGGGGTCTAATGGATAGTGAGGTGGGCTGAAGATCAGAAGGTTGTGAGTTCAAATCCCGCCAGGAACACCACCACTAGTGTGCCCTTGAGTAAGGCACTTAGCCCTTAGTTACTCCAGGGAGAATGTCCCTGTAAGTCGCTTTGGATAAAAGCGTCAGCTAAATGAAATGTAATGTAAAGTATACATTTCAGTCAGACAACTCACGTGTTTCTTTAACATGTTTATTAGAAGCAGCATATAGTTAAGTTTGGCGGCTAGGCTCGGGCATCATCACTCCATAGATATACATAGCACGATGAGTGATGATCGAATAACTAACCCCCAAGCCTACAGGTGGAAGCTCGGGTGGTAGTGGGGCAGGCAAGCAGCAGCGACGTAGAGGTAATGGCAGCAATAGCAGCAGCAAGCAATGCATAGAGAGATATCTGGCAGGTTAAATAGAGCGGCATATTAAGGAGACTCTGTTTGGTTGGTTGCAGAGTGGCAAGGGGCGTTATGTATGAATGCAGCATAAGTGCTCGAGTTGACTGCCTGAACTAGCTTGCAGGCTTCGCCCCATATATCACCTAAATGAAAAACAGTGGTAATGACTGAAGTCTTCTCCGCAGATTGTGAAGCTGATTAAAGCTTCCAAGGAGCATCCCATAACCCTCGCTGTTGGAGATGGTGCCAACGATGTCAGCATGATCCTGGAAGCACATGTGGGCATCGGTGAGCTCATTTTAACACTGTTCTAAGGAGTGCTGCTTCTATTAGAGAGCAAGACTGATATTGATATCTGAGAGTAAAGCACATTTAATAAAGATGTATGGATCTATTTATGTTTTTTTGACACACACACACAAACATTATGCATCTTTTCTCATTAAAGTGGACCTATCATGCTATATTTGAATAATATAGTGTAGGACCATACCTATATAAGGCATATTTATACTTTTTATTTTTCAAAATACCAAACAGATTTAGCCATTCCTAATTTCGCTCAATGTAACACTGTCTTTGCATGGGCTGATTCTGTGAGAACAGCACCATCTACAGGCCTGTCATATGTACTACAGCGTCTCCAGCGCTTTCCAATGGCAATGTCCGTGGCTGTCTCCTCCTGATTGGTGGAGTTGGCCCAATAGCCGTAGCGCCACTTCTGTGACGTCATAGAAGTGTTCAAATCTGGATCAGTCTGTATCAGATCCGTTGCGGCTTTTTAAGAGATTTGGGTACGGAGGAAAATAGAGAGGGTTGTGTTTTCTGACACTTGGTGAGTTCCCTGGGACACATATTCATGAATAAAAGAGGTACAAAAGTGCATTTTGCATGATAGACACCTTTAAATATTTGTTTTTACTAATTTAATTGGAACAGTAAAACTTTAATGATTATAATTAGTAAAACATACTTAACATAATTCAGTTAATAAAACATGTATACAATAGATATATGGTTGGATGTTCTGCTTGTGTAATGAAAACAATCAAATATTTGTTCATTTTGGCCTATATTTAGTTGGGTTTTGGGCGGTTAGTTGGCATCTCTTCTCTATTTTTAGAAAACCACCTTCTCATGCCTAAGTTAGATTCCTGCTCATCTTCTATGTTGTTTTTTATGTAACCACCCTCCTTCTTTCCTCAAGGCATCATGGGTAAAGAAGGCCGACAGGCGGCGAGGAACAGTGACTACGCCATCCCGAAGTTCAAACACCTGAAGAAGATGCTGCTTGTTCACGGCCACTACTACTACATCCGGATTGCAGAGCTCGTTCAGTACTTCTTCTACAAGGTACGCGCTCCACACCGGCTCTCACACTTTAATCACTTTATCGTAATTCCCAGTGAGACACTGAGTTACAAAGAGCCAGATTTTGCAGCTACTCTGACAGATTACTGGATTCATGAATCCCCGGTGTGACGTTCTCTCCTGGATCCACGGCTGTGATGATCGTGTGGGCGGCGGTTTCACAGCGAGCAGCGCCCTGCCAACTGATTCATTTTTTCTTTGGCAGGCCGGCTCTCTGCAGCCCACTCAGTCAGCTTATAGCACACAATCTCTGCAGAAACAGAAATGTGTAGATACTAGCATTTTTAGATTCTTTAAATCTCCTCACGTGTACTTGTCACAAGCTTATCACTCTCTCTGTGTGTTGTTGTTTTTCCCTCTTCTTAAATCTTTCCAGAATGTATGCTTCATCTTCCCTCAGTTCCTTTACCAGTTCTTCTGCGGGTTCTCCCAGCAGGTAAGTACTTTAGTTAGGGCTACACTCAGTGTCATGATTTAAACTAGTTTCACACAGAAATGAATGCTTTTTAAATGTGAACTTTTAAAGCTGCAATAATTAGTGTCGCTTGTTGAAAAACCTACAGAGAATTATCACCCTACTCTGCAGTTCCCTGACAGCTTTACTGAATATTTTCCCCTTCTTTCTTTTGATTTTACGGCCCACAAACTCCATTCTCATCAGCTCAGTTCAATTTATTCACCAAACCGACATAATCGAGACATGTGTGCCCTAATAAGCTTTCTAAAATGTGAGCATTTGGGCCCAGAAATCAAAAAGTTAGAATTTAAAAAGTTATGTTTAATAAGACATTGCGTAGATTTGAGTGCATTTACAGTATCATACAGTAACACTTACAACCTACAGTACAAAGCCCCTATGACCAACCAGAGACCACAAGTAAATGGTCCCAAAACATTTATAAAAGGTATCAGGAATCAATGTAGAATGGCATTGATAAGAGGATCTGATAGATCGATTTAAATCTCAACAATTAAAAAAAGCGTATTCTGAAACCCTCCTTTAGTTCCAGATGTCTGATACCGCCTGTATTCCTGTATTTACTTTAATGACTATATGGTCTTCCTCCTCCGCAGCCTCTGTACGACACGGCGTATTTGACGTTGTACAACATCAGCTTCACCTCGCTCCCCATCCTCCTCTACAGCCTGGTGGAGCAACACGTCACCATGGATACGCTAAAGAGGGACCCCTCCTTGTACAGGTCGGCATAAAACAACCCACTATGTATTCTTTTTCTGTAACTTTTCTGAGGTTTTTTGCATTTGCTCATCCGTTCTTTTTCCTGCCTGTGTTTTCTTTAGGGACATAGCGAAGAACTCGCTCCTCCGATGGCCCGTCTTCCTCTACTGGACGTGCCTGGGTCTGTTTGACGCTGTTATCTTCTTCTTTGGTGCCTACTTCCTGTTTGACAACACCACCTTTACCAGCAACGGCCAGGTGAGCCTCTCTCTCCATGTCAACAGAGGCCGTGAGATACATCTTGTAATGGAAACGAGTAGAAAACACAGTCATGAGTTATGTTGGCACTTTGTGGGGTGTTCCAGGGAAATTAAAAGAGAATAATGGACACAAAGTCAGTGCTTCATCCATCTCCATTGGATTGTCATGACAGAGGAGTTAAGTGTTGCAAGATGACTCATGTTTTTTGTTTATTGTGGATAGGGCTGCTCAATTAATCGTATTTTAATCGCAATTACGATGTTGGCTTTCAACGATTATGAAAACAACATAATCAAAATAAAACGATTTATTATTTTTTTTATTATTATTATTATTTTTTTTTTTAATTACGGTATTATTATTATTATTTTTTTAACACTTTTTTTTGGTCTTTCAATTGAATTATACTTAAAATTCAGGATAATCAACTTTTAAAAACATACTGCACATTTTTTTTTCAATAAATTGATGTTTTCAAAGTAAATGGATAATCGTTTTTGATAATCGTGATATCAATTATTGACCCAAATAATCGAGATTATGATTTTTGCCATAATCGAGCAGCCCTAATTGTGGATCTGTAACAGTAAGGTTTCTGTCCCAGGCCCATCTGTAGGTCAGCAACATTGGATCTCCATTCATATCGACTACGCAATAGCATCTGTCTCTATATTGTTAATTTGTATCATGTCAACTGTTTTTCGATTGCCTTTGGTCCTGTTTTTTAAGTTGATTCTCTTTTCTTCCCCCCCTCCTTCTCTCTGCTTCCTCTCTCTTTATTTTGCTTCTTCTCTTTACTCTTCTTCTTCTACCTGTTCTTCTTCCTCCTCAGCTTATGACCACCAACACACAGATGGTAAGCCTGTCTCCCTCCCTGTCAGCTCTCTCTGTCTTTCACGCGTTTTGAGTTCCTGTCGTACTGTTTAAGCTTTCAGTTGGACCGTTTCATCCAATTTCATCCCTTCTCACTTCGCGTCATCCACGCACTTTCATTTGAATGTGTAGTTTTCTAGTGCTCCATTATTCCCCTAATCTCTGTAAAGCCACAGTACCTGATCTTAACAACCTCCACTGACATAGTAGAAGCCTTAGATGCTCCCCCACGTTTTCCTTGTGTTTCCTTATGATAGCAAATAGAGTAATGCTAGTATGTGTTTGTTGTTCTCTGTTTGTTTGTATGTCCATGTATTTGTGATTTGGGGTTTATTTAAATCACTGCTCAATCATCCGGGGCTTGGCTGCACTTTTCATTCGGTACTATTTGTGTCTACGGCTGACAAACAAACCTTAATAAAGCAGCTTTAAAAATGGAAATTCTTAGAAATGGATTAATGAATGAAGGAGTTTTCTAGCGAATATAGGTACCAACAAACAGCTTTGGTTATTACATAAATTCCCAGCTTTCTCCGTCTTGATCTCTCTCTCCCGCCTTTCATTTCCTCCCTCTCAACGCTCATCCCATCTGCTCGCTCCGGATGTCTGCTTAAACCTTTTCTAGGATTTAGGCAGGTAGATTTAGATGCAAAGACGTGAAGTGAAAATACTCTCAGTATTTTTGGCACAGAAGCTTAAAGGTGGGGTAGGTAATTTTGGAGAAACCAGTTTGAGTGCGCTAGAATTTGAAAATACACAGCCGGAAAAAATCTACCACTTCCTTGCAGAGCCCCTCCTCCAACACACATGAACGCGCACATGACCAATGAGGGCACGAGATAAGTTTGTGCACAGATGGAAGGCTGACAGGCAGGTAGGCCATCCAGTTACTTTAGCCGGGCCGGCTCAGATGATTGGTCGTGCTTTTTATAGCGCCACGGCTTCAACAGATGACATTTTTTAATGGATTTTTTTGTCAAAGCACTTCAGATATTCATTGCTATCGGGATGTTAAGAGCATTCCATAGAATATAAAAAAAAGTGTATCTCGAGCCAGTTTCTCAAACTTACCTACCACACCTTTAAAAGAGTACCCTTTCTAAAACATCACCTCTCACTGGTTTGTGCTCATATATGCACTGTAAATTAAAAATATAGGAGCTTCACTAATCCATGGATGCAGGCTGATTGGGATGTGGTATTGATGTGGCCGCTAACCAGCTTCTTCCTCTTTTCCCTCGCAGATGTTTGGGAACTGGACCTTCGGGACTCTGGTCTTTACTGTGCTGGTGTTCACCGTAACGCTCAAGGTGGGTTTCTAGGAAATACATGTTTATGGAAAGAGAAACTCCATTCAATTGCATAATCCCTCACCATTACAGTACATACAGTATGTGTGTCATCGTATGCGAGAAAAAGCTTGCGGCACACATGTTAACTAGCATGTTACGTCAATGATGGACTGCAGTTTGCACGGCAGTAAATCCCGTAGGCAGAGTTATTGACTCCATTGACGTGTGGAGTGTTTATTATGTGTGTATTCTGTTTGTTTCAGCTTGCTTTGGACACACACCACTGGACCTGGATCAATCACTTTGTCGTCTGGGGGTCGCTACTTTTCTACGTTATTTTCTCTCTTCTGTGGGGAGGAATCATTTGGTATAACATTCTTCATTTTTTTTCCCAAGCATACATCATCTTAATTGTAATTAGGACATTTCTGAAACCTTTTTGTGTCCTTCCGGTTGCTGCGCAGGCCCTTCCTGAACTACCAGAGGATGTACTACGTGTTCATGCAGATGCTGTCCAGCGGCCCGGCCTGGCTCAGCATCATCCTGCTCATCACGGTCAGCCTGCTGCCAGATGTCATAAAGAAAGTCCTCTGCAGGGCCTTGTGTCCCACAGCCATCGAACGCGCACAGGTAAGATCTTTGCACCAACACCACAGTGAAAGGGAAGCTTTCAATTGTTCCCATGTTAGGCTTCCCTTTAGAGGCTTTTCTGCTTTGCTAAAATCATTAACCAATTAATACATTTTTAGGAAAGTGTGCCTTTTAGCGTAATTACAGTGTACAAAATGACCTGATATAGTAGGTAGAATAATCTCCTATGCTAGCTGATGCATAATATTTGAACTTTAGGAGACCGTATGAGTAAGCTGCAAATCTTTCACACTCAATTAACCATCCAGAAAGACCATTAGGATCCCTAATAGCTTCGAGCAACAGCGTGATTTAGAATGACTTCCTGTTCCCCATGGCTTAGCCTCACCTTCCTGTGAAGAAAGCTTCATGGAGAAATGAATGAAAGGTCTGACAGATTTCTCCCTGCTGTGCTTTTTCTCTTTTCTCCCCTTCTCACTGCAACCTGATGGACCACAAATCACACCATCCTGCATCCTCCCCTCTCCCTCTCCCTTTCACTCACCTGCCTCACCTTGCTTCTTTTTCCTCCCCCTTCATTACGTTTCCTCTCTTGTTTCCCCCACTGCTCCTGTGTGCCTGTGCCTCTGCACTCACCCTGCAGTCCTCTCGCCCGTGCCTTACTGTGGAGCCGTCCACCATCTTCATGCTTTCTCAGTCCTCCAGCAGAATGAGTTTCTGATTGGCCCAGAGAGACGAGAGAGGAGCAGGAAGAGGAGGTGACTCTCTTTTAAGCCCTCTGTATGCATGCTGGCATGTCCCAGTTTAAACCACGTATCACTGTCTCAACACCTGCTTAATATGACACTAACTCCTAGCGCTGATCAAATACAGAGGGTTTGGTTTGTAAGGTTAGAATGTCTCCTGACCTTTATGAAGTTACATTTTCCATTATTATAAAGTTAGCTTTTTGTGTTATATTTTGTGTTTAAGATATTTAGATTTCCTGCCATGTTATTGTGTCTTTCTTATTGGTACCTTATTGTGTTTTTGTGTTATTATTTTGACATTAAGATTATTAAGATTTCTTAGTCAGTAACAGAGTGAGTTAGACTTACTGTTGGATCTGCTGACATCATTTCACAGGTTTTCATTTTAAGTGTTGTTGTTGATCAATGTCGATTGACATTTAGTGTGGATACACTGACACATCTCTAATGTAAATGTAGCTTCAGTTTATCGGTTTAAGCTAACCAACCGCAACATATCGATAATATGATACTAAAAGCAACATCAATATTTTTCTCTAGCTGTGTGGATGAGATAACCAAAAAACACTGTCCTTTAAATTAATATTTAAGCAACCTAACCCTCTTATTTTCATACAGTTTAAGTACATGAAAACTAATGAGGATTTAGTCTTTTTTGAGGAATCAGATTATATTGAACATTTCAGTCAATCTATCCAATCAAAAGTACCTGGTTTCTTTCTCCTGAGCACTTGTTACTTTGAACTCAAACTTGAGTCTTTCTGACTTTGCTCATTGTGTGCTGCTGCTTTAGTCCTGGTATGAATGATTTCCAGTCTATGATATTGTATTGCTGGTCAACAAAAGAATGATTGTGGTCACTTTAATAGTTTTATGTACCTTTTAAGTCTGTTTTCTTCAAGAGTATGTTTCAATATAGTAGTTTGATATTGTGGCTGTCTCGTCTTAGTCATGGAAAATGTTGTGGAGCACCGTTAGTCATGAAATTAACGCTGCTTTAACGTCACCCACAGAAGGTTAGGACAGCAGGGGCCCTGGAGGTCTGTGCTGGTGGAGGGGGGAGTGATGAGAGGAGCCCACTGCGCCCTGATAGGACCAGTGAGGGAGACAGTGGAGTTAAAGCTGCTAGGACCTATGACTCCATGATGTCACGCAGCCACAGCACCCCTCTCAGCAAACCCTACAGTACACCCCTTTAGGTGGGCTAGGGTCACCATGGTAACAGCACACAGAGGGAGCCGGGTGTTAATGCTGCTCCCGTGATGCTTCCTGCTGCTCTGCTCTGCATGGGGCCTGCTGTACGACTGTGGCTGTTGGGGGGGGGGCTTCCTGCATAACTGCATCAACATGAGAATTATTTTCTCTCCGTCAAACCTACTTTCAGGAATCGCAATCTCCAATTCTCTCTGCAGCGCTGGATGCAAAGTGTGCTGTGCTGCTCACTGCATGTGGGATGGGAATTAACTTGATCTGGGTAGCAGCCAAATGACAATTTGATCCTGGCTTGATCCTTTATTAGTCCCAGGCTACTTAAAGACCCATTGCCACCTGTCATGTGTGGACCGCAACAAGTGTGAGACTGGTGTGACTGCTCTTTGGTCCTGGACTGTAGCTTCAGTGATGAGAAAGTAAGCTAAAGCTCATACTGAAGGTTCAGAGGAGGTTTAGTTGTGATGTTCCAGGTGACTGTCAGGTTTTAGAGGTTCAAACTGATGTGATTAGTATTTAGGTAGTTACTGAGGTGATGTTTAAGTCATTACTATTAACCTAATTAAGGTTGCCCAAGCAGCTTGTATCTGACAAGTATTTTTCTTGTGTCAGGAAAACTGATGACATCTCGTGTCGAAAGATGGAATAGCAAGTTTGAATTTTGTTGATTTCATATGCATGTTTAATCTAACAAAACTGCCAATCATAATGAACATTTTCAGAGGGTTTCTCATCATGGATCAGTAAATTATGTCCGGTTTTTACACTTAATACGTTTCTTTTTTTTACTGTTTGTTCAGTAAATGTGTTTCAAGAGTCCATAACAGGGAGTCATTAATACTTTTTAACTAAGCATCTGGATATTAAGCTGCAACAATTAGTCTACTTATTGATTAATTGAGCACACAAAAATAATTGCCTACTATTTTGATAATGGATAGTTTATTTAAATAATTATGTTTGAGAAAAAAGGCAGTTTTCAGCCTCTAACTTAAGAAGATTTCCTGGGTTTTTTCAGTCTTAAACTACATATCATTTGGAGTAACAAAACAAGTTATTAAAAGATACCTTGACATCTGTCTACAGTTAAAACAATAATTAAAGTAATGAAGTTGTATCTGGATGAATAAAACAAACCTTTTTAACATTTCTAAATGTAAGCCTGCTGTTAGATAGAAGGCATTGAGCCGTCTCACATCTGTTGTTACTCATATTTTCTCTGATATAATCTGCATGAAGCAATTCTTTCTTTTGATTTCCTTTTCCAATTATTCATGTGTTTTGAATGACCTTGTACTAACTTGTCCTCTATCTCTCTGCAGGATCATGAGAAGCTGTCGGTGGCTGTCGTGGCCGAGTCGACTCCACTGTCCTCTCGTCGGTCCTGCAAAGGCGCGAGCACAGACTCATCCCGCCTCCACCTGGCCGCTGCAGAGGTGCTGTCGCTGCGCAGGTCTGATTCCCTTCCCCAGAAACTACTGGTGCACTTGACAGAGGGTGGAGGGGCAGACCTGCGCCCTCTCAGCCCCTACATGCTCCGTCTATCAGGGGCGGGATTCGCCTACTACGCTCCAGGGCCGGAGACCTCCGTGTGAACCAGGCTCTGTAACTGTGTGCGTGTGGATCTGATGGGATGAAACGTAGCAGGATGTGCGACCAAGGTCTGTGTCTCAAGGAGCGAGGATTTATCGAGCAAAACATAAACATGTTCACACACACGTCAACCTCCATGCTGAGTTCACCATGTGCATTTTCTGGGCTACACCTGAGTGAACAACCCTTTATATATTACAGCCCTGACGCCTCATCTTCATACTTTGTTAACTATTTTTTTATTCAGTGTCATCCCCAAGTCGTATCAAAGTTCCTACTCAAAATCTTACTTGAAAAAGTCTAAGAACAAAAGGGGAACTTGTGCAGAGGTGCATTGTTTCATGCACTAAGGAACTGTTTTAACATGTTAACAGGCCTTTTTATATTCCTCGTTCTTATTTTCAGTTCTTGCCTGTTCCTCCACTTTTGTGTCCTTTTTGCTTCTTTGTGAATGTTTGTTTAAAAAACATATGTACAGTAGTCTGGCCAAGTTAGGGGCAGCCGTCAAGCTCAGCCCTTTAGGTGTGCGTGAGTGTGCATGTGCGCGAGTGTATGCATGATATTTGCCTGTTACCGTATGTTTGTACGTGACACACCTTTGCCTTACAGGTAGCCACACAGCAGCAGGCTAGGAGCCAAAGGAGAAAGGTTTTTAAAAAAACACACACACACACACATCAGCTAAAGGGAGAGAAACTGGGGAAATCTGAAGAGGGATGTGCAGTATTCTCGCCGTCCTGCCTTAATTCATACATTTTTTGTGGACTATATTTCTAGTTTGTTTTGTGAGTGGACAGGGGATTTAGAGGGCATACTTGTCTGGTACAGTGTGTCCGTTATTGTTTTTCTTTTTCTCTCACAATTGTGTCCACTTTCTTACCTACCAGTGTAGCATGTCGGGTCTCCCTGCTGCATGCTGACCTGCTCTTCTTCTTCTTCTCTGTTTTTCCTTTATCTTCCTTCGTCCCAAACAACATTCTTCATAAACCACATCTCAACATTCTTTTCTTTCTCCCAAGAAAGAGCACACTGTACCCACTCCTGCCCTCATGTGGCCGTTAAGGGTAACAACAGCAGCCCAATACTTTATTTATGGATGTCTATTCCTCTATGTTGCATTGTGCTTGTGTGTTTGCTGCCATGCTATTTGTTAAGAAAAATGTACTGTAAGAATGCTAATGTCATGCTGTCACCTTATAAGGCTTTTATCTCTGTGTTGCATTATCCATGAGTTTTTTGTCTGTATTCTAAAATTATTGATGGCGGTTACTGTTGATGTATGGATGTAACTTAAAAAACAACTTTTGATATATTATTATAGTGAGATTGGGTGTTATATTAGACTGTTGTGAGTAGGAGGGAGACTTGAATCGGCGATGTCACAATCAAATCACTAGAATGTCGAACTGATTTATCCATCATGTCCTCCAGCTGACGATTGTAGCTCATAATGGATGAACCCCTTTTCTGCATTTCTAACATCCTCTAAAGTCCTCTTTGTCCAAAGCATATCTGTCGTGTTGCACAGCAAGTGACAGACTCGGGAAGTCTTGAATGTCAGATTACGAAGCATTTTTGTATGTTTATACAGTTTATTTTCATACACATCACCATCTGCCAACATGTATAGATTTAAAAAACAATTGTTCAGTATTTTTTTACTGGGGCACAGATAATATATCAGTTTGATTGGAGGTCTGGATCTGTCTCAGTTTTCATTTAAAGCCCACAAGCCTCTACAAGTGTTTGAACTTGGAGGGGCTCAACGTCCTGACCTCAGTAGATTATTAGAAGGGCCTTGGTGCTTGTTATGCAGTGTCCCACCTCACTGTGCTGTTGCCATACTGTTTCAGACGTTTTCTACATGTCACACATACCAATCGTACCACTATAGCTACAGTATAAGGTCTATATTACTTTATTTTATTTAATGGGGAATTCTTTGGAGTCATTCTTTAAACACAGTTTATCTGAGTCCTCCACAGCTCAGTTTTTCTCTTCTACTTGTCATTTTTGTTTTGTCCATTGTGAATATTTATTTTGTTACTTTTGTATCCCAGAGAGAAGACTATATTTGAACTCTGTTAGAATGTGTGTTCAAGTTTGTAACCAAAATTAGAGCATACGTTATATGATTCAGTAGAGATTTACTTATAGGTCTACACACTGCACTTTCTACAACAGATCAGTTTCTCCCTAAAAAGAAAAGGTCTATTATCTGTGGACTGGGGTTTATAAGTGTTCACTCTTCCTCACAAGTTATTTTTCTAAGAAGAATGTAGTGGGTGAGAAAAAAAAGTGACCAAATAACTTGACTAGGAACGGACTGTCTGTAGCCTCTGTCTCAAATGGGTTTTATCGCACCAGCCTTTTACTGCTGATCAGAATGTCAAACTGCTTTTTCTAAGTCCATCAGCAGGACAGCAGGTGCTCATCTCGTCACTCCTGAGCTTGGAAAATGTCTGAAATGTCGACTTGTGTGCTCTGAGCAGCACGCCTCATAGCATACCTTCAGTACAGCACTGTTTGTATTACTAAACAGGTTTTGAGAATTAACTTTTTTTTTTGGATAAAGATTTTAAAAGTTCACCTGTTCACTTTTTGCCAGCCTGTCTGTAGCAAACGAAGGCAAAGCACTGTATTGTCATTATGCTTGTAATAAAGAAAGATTGAAAACACTTCTCCTCCTTGTTAATGTTCTATATAGGCCTAATTATTGTTAAATTCTGTATTCTTTCAGACACAACAGATGGGATGAGATAGGATTTTATCATGGATCACAACAAATATCTCACAATAAGTTGGTCATTGGGAATTTCCTGTAATTGGATAATATCTTCACATAAGTGATTTGTTAGAAAGAACAGACTCACACAGTTATGCATTTTTATTTATTTATGTATGCACAAGGGACCTTATGATTTATCATTACCATATTATTCATTTTTTAGTTGTTGTTAAATGTTAAAAATATGTTCTATTTGGAATGCAGTACAAATATGTGTTTCTTAAAATGTAATGTAAGCAAAGCAGACAGGTATACCGGAAGTAAAAGTTAACATTTCAAAATGAAAGTCAATAGGATAGAATGGTCAATTCGGGAAACCATTGTTCTCACGAATATATACACAAATGTATTTACAGTATAAAGAGATGAATAAAAGTGTAACATTATGCAAGATGTGTGCACAACAGCAGTCCCCTCTCTTCAGACTTCCGGTTTCCAACATGTCGGTAATGAGAGTTTCTAGAATGTTGCCTTTTAGACAAAGGCCTGACAACAATGTCAACACAAATGTCCACTTACCTTTACACCAGCTCCAACCAGAAAAGGGGAGAAATCTTTCAGGTTACACATTTACTGGGTGAGAAAATAATATTTTGATGTAGCTGACGCAATGTTTGGTAACATTTTATGGTTGTGTTATTTGGTTACATTCCGTTCGCCATATTGGCAAACGGTCAATTGATTAGCCTGCGAGATCTAGCTAATGCTAACTAACTCATAGTTAATTAATACACTTCCTTCGATAACATTTCATTTACATTTCTTGTTATATAACAACGTTTTAATAAGCTAGCAATAATGCCAGAAGTGGAGTATGTGATGCTATCCCAACACACTTTGGTACACTTTAGTGACTCTCCTCACCATTTGATAGCTTTCCATTTAAATTCAGATTTGATGGGGGTTTCATCTTTGTTGAAAAGGCTGCTTTACTCTCTTTGTGTGTCTGTGTTGTGTAGGTGTTGTGTAGGTGTGAGAGTTTGTTGTGTGCTGTGAATTTTTGGCAAAAACATTAATTACAAATATTTTTAAATACTAGCGTTTGGACTGAGTGCTGACTGGAACAGTTACAGCAACAGACAGTGCTGATTTGTTTTTATACAGATTATATTTTCATATATTCCCATGGAAATTGCATTTGGTTAGGCTAATTATGTGGATTGTCTGTTGAGCTGTGTTGTGTTGGCACTGATTCTGATATTTTTTATAAATGCTATGATAATAACAAACCAAAGACCAATAATCTACATATACTGTAGATAACCTGCAATAATACAATAAATGTGTTTTGTAAACAATACAATTTTATCAAGTTTCATTTACTAGTGTCATTTGTTCAGGCAAATAGCTTAGCAACTATATAACATCTGGTACTTTTATACCTTATATCCTTAACAGTGCCCTTTTAGGTTGACACATCCGCCAGAATGTGTTAGTCTATGTAAAGTGGTGTAATTTAGTTAATAATGTAATGTAAACCTTAAAAGTGATACCCAAAAGAGCTTGAACCTTCATTCATTGAAAAATAAACAGTCATTGCAGTTTAGTAAAAATGCATCATGTATATGGCCTTTTGGGAAGTTACCCAACTGTAATGACCAAGTGTTGTCACATGGTGGCAACGCAGCACCAGCAATTGTACATGACTAGCAGCACTGTATATCTCTACAGAAGTGCATGTTCCATCCACACAGCTGTGATGCCTTGTCTCCACACTGAGTGTCGCTATTGGATCAGCTATGTGTGTGAAACTGCATCGATGACCTTCACTTCCCCTCCCCCTCTGTGTCTACCAGGTCTGTACAGGTTCACGCCATCATATGTGCTGACGCTGAGGCATGCATGTGCGAATGAGGCAGCCCCCTGCGCCACCTCCTCCCCATCTCCATCACTGGCGTCCTGAGCTCTGCATCCCTCTGCTGAGGACTCGTCACTGCAGCCAGGGCTGTGACAGCAGCTTCAGCATCATCCCCTCATCTGCCCCTGATGCATCCTCGAAAGCATCCTTTTCTCACAAGCATCCCAGCACCTCTGAGCTGCACACACCCCCTCTCTCGCACATCTCTCTCCTCCAGCATCCGTGTGTTGCAAAAGACAACCAGGCAGTTAAATCCCGGGCTAGATTACCCTGCAGCATCCCCCTCTTCCCTTCTGCTCGGCTGGGCTTGCCATCGCAACAGTCTCCCCTCTCCCTTCCTCTTCAGCATCATCCGCTCTCCTCTTCACCACTCAGTGAAAAAAGCAGGCAAGCTGTCTCTTTTTCCTACAAATGTCTCCATTGGCTGGGCAGCTGGGTTACCGCTGTCCCTTTGGAGGATGATCCTGTGGATGAAGACAGAAGAGATGGACGTTGGGGAGCTGCTGGAGAGACTGAGGACTGTCACTCGGAGCATAGGTGGGTGACAACACACTCAACACCAACTATAGTACCTAGTCATTTATTCTTGATTGCAGACATTGATATCAAGCATAGATACAGCTGAAATCATAATCTGGATTCAGCTACAATAAGAGATGACATTGTATCTCTTTTTTTGATTGATTTTAGGCCAAAAAAGGGTGAAACATGTAAAGGAAAATGCTGGATCATCGTGTCAATTAGCAAAACATTTTGTGTCTCTGCTGTTCATGCTGTGTCTGCCTCAAGCTAGGGAGGCGTTTGGCCTGTAAGCTGTGTGTTTGTCGCATGTTATGATTGAACAGTTTATGTCTGCAAGGAAAATGTGATATTGAGTCGTATAATATAAATGATGTAATAATAACACAAATAATTTGTAATGCTGCCAGATTCAAAATGTTTGATTTCATTGAATCTGATGTGTAATCTGAGGATGACAGCCAGATGTACCAACACACAGACAGGATGATTTGTGTTGTGATACTCTCCCTCATGGGCCTCATG